TTGCGTATCAACGACCCTCTGCTTGCCAAGTGTAAGATCCTATTAAAGACAGGTTCTGTCCAGGGTATTCAGTACAAAACACATCCTAAGGTGGACAGAGCCTTGTTCAACAGACTGAGTGTCATTGCCATGACCGACAAGTCCAAGCCATTCCCTAGTAACGACCAGAGCTCGGGTGTGTTGCGTTGGAGAGCCACTGAAAGCTCCAGTGACCACATGGTCCCTCTTTTGGTGACCGCATGGGTTGGCGTGAACGATGGTGTTGCTGACGTCACATTGGAGTACGAAATTCCTCAAAGCTTCATTGATTCTCATCCTTCCCAGGAAAGCATTGACAACGTCCGTATAATTTTGCCAATAGAGCTGGACGATGTCCTGCTAGAAGATGAGAGTGGTGCGCTGGTGAGCTACGAGAACACTGAGGGCGGCGTTGTCTTCGAGTTGGCTCTGATCCCTCTCGACAACCCTCTGGGTACTTTCCAATTCTCCATTCCCGCTGTTGACGAAGACTCTTTGTTCCCTATCCTGGTGGACATTGAGGTTCATAGAACCGAGGGCGTTACGGAAGCCGACGTCGCTTTCGGAAAAGTGCAGGTGTTGGACGTTACCACTGCCGATGAGGACGAGGCATCCTTGCCATTTACTTTGCATCTGAATGTTGTCACGGAGCTGTACACGGTGCAGTAAAAATACTACCAGGGAAAATAGATAGCAGCTAAGAAGTCAAAAGAAAAATGCTACCAAGGGTAGGATACTTATACGTGTAGTGGGGACGAGCGAAATTGGTGCCATCTACGAGATATTTCATTGACGTTGGTAAACCTTCTATGCCAATTTATTCATGCTATGTGTTGTGCAAGATATGCAAGCCTATATCGTTACCGAAAGACCACTCAATGCCATGGAGAAACGGACGCCTAGTCCGCTTTGTTTCGCCAAGTCCCGAAGCTCTTGTAATACCTGCTTTCTAGGATCTAGGGCACCTGGGGTGTCTTTCACATGTGTGACTATGACGTTGAAACCATCCAATGACTTGGAGGAGAAAGCCAGGAGGACCTCAAGTTCTCCTATTAGATGCTGGGGCATCAAATGGCCGTAAAGCTCTGCTGGTTCTTTCTGAGTAGCCATGGAGCACTCCAATACAATAGCCTTGAGCGACCCGTCAGCAATAAATGGAGCCACTTTGAGCCATATTTGGCGATTGTACTCCTTGCCCAGGTTGCTGTCTGCTTCAAAATCCCCGAAAACGAGAAGTCGGCTATCAGACGGTATATGATGTATAAGGTATGCCAGGGACAAGTAAGGCACGGGACCGTTATCTGACTGGGTCACGCCGTGCTGGAGCTCGAACATGGTGACTTTGTAAATGCCGTTGTTTGTGGTGAAAGGGGACTTTGCTGCGACAGGAGCCAATGCAAACGTCCCCAACGATATCATGTCAGGCCACACTTTCCCATTGAAGATATGCTTTTTGAGGGTATCTGCGGTGAATTGGGAGCCGTAAACGGTGAGACCGTTATTTTTAAAATCCACTTCTGCCAGATTGAGCACCAACGCCGCTATGTGGTCGAGGTGGGGGTGGGTTAGGAGAACCGTGGGGACACACAGCATGACACGCTTCAGACTGCCAAAAGCGTTCTCTGACAAGTCTGCAAAAGGAAAACACGGCTTGAGCTCCACGTAGTCCTCGATTTTGCCACAATCTCCATACAAACGAAGCAACCGTGACGGGCTCTGCTTATCAGCTATGAGTTCCGCCAACAGTAGGTATCCAGAACCTGCGTCAATCTGCAAAAGAGGCAGATTGGCTGGCGAGATTGCAGAGTACTCAACGCCGTGAGGCTTCACCAATAAGGCACATGTACTGGCCTCAATGGGCCCACCCAGGGTGCCCAAAAAGGTGATATCAAAAGACATGGTAGTATGGGTAGATAAACGAGGTTACAGGCAAAATGTGCAGGCCCTGATAAGCGTTGGGCTCTGATAAATAAGCGTGTGGGGGCTGGAGGGCCGTGGTTTTTTGGGTAGTAGTAGTTTCACGATGGAAAAGTGTATTTGTCTGATTTTTTGTGTTTGGAAGTGTGGGCACGGCTGTTATCTCATATATAGACTGTGCAGCAGCTGTAGGTCTAAAGTGGGGCACGAAAAGAAGTGGGTGCGAAAGGATCTGGATTTTCCAATGAGACAAGATCTGCTTTCATTGTCTCTTTCTTTTTAATATAAAGCTTCTGCCTGCTTGTTTCTAATTGGTCTACTTGGAGACAAGCCACAAAGTTGGGAGGATGGCTCGTTTAGGTTTACCGCATGCCAGGTCCTTCCAGATATAGTAATAGCGGTGCAGTGGGATAAAGTTGAGACATGGTTCTTAACGGAGCAACGGTGGATGAATTCTTCGATTGTGAAATAAAGTTTGAGATTTGTGGCACCGGCTAAGTTTCATAACCTCGATTAAGGAGTTCATCTATAACCCGTATCCCAAGATTCATCGTCAACTTGACAGGTTAACAGCAGCCGGTGACAATGGCGTGCTGCAATTCCGCCTCCTACAATTCCGTCGCTTATTATCGTTCCATTCATCTATAGCTGTTTGCTGCCGTAACCAATGATCTTCTCCGCAAACTTCCAGCTCTGGTTCTCCACCTTCACGCCCTTCTCGAACTTCAAGTCCACCTTGCCGTCCTCGACCGTCAACACAACCAAGGAGAACTTGTCGCCCGCACGTGCGTCTCTATAGTAAAGCACTCTCATGGAGTTGAGCATGGCCTCGCGAGCCTCTTCCTCGGTCACCTTCTCGAAGTCCAGATCATATGGCACCAACTTTCTCAACAATGGGATGGCCAAGTGGGAGCCGAAACCCGTGGCAAGAGCCAGCGCACCGTATGCAACACCCAAAAGGTCAACGTATCTCATAAATGGCGTTCTGTCGTCGTTAAAGCCTGCCACAATGACAGCGTTCCACAAGGGGTCCATCTTCAGCCTTCTGTTGTACAAAAGACGGGTCAAGTACTCGTGCACGTGTGGAGCACGCAAGTTGTGGCCACCGTCGGTATCATAGATCTCCTCTTCGGTTTCCAATTGGTGCAAGAGTCTCTCGATATGCTGTAAGTCAGAGATGTCACCGGAGATTCCCACAATGGTTTCCTTGCCCACACGAATCAAACGCTCAATGTTGCTGAATCTGAGAAGAGAGCCGTAGGAACCCATATTGTCGGCGGCAATGGCCACACCATTCTTGAACTTGAGCCCCAAAACAGAGGTACCAGTGATAATCGGTTGTTGAGTGTGTGCCGTTGGAATATCGGATGCCTCCTTGACGCCAGCAGAGGCTATAGCATGGTTGTAGGCGCCGTAGACTTCGTCACGTGGTCTGCCCCAGGCAAACGGATCGTGGTTCATGATAAGTTGGTTGAGAAGTACTATGTAGTTGTAGTTGAGAGTGGCGAGGCATAATCGCCAGGTCGCACCCGTACCTCCGGCAATAAGGTAGGAGGTGTTTCGTAAGGAAGAAGACAGATATTTTTATTTGATATGATAATTTGAAGTGTAGATTTCTTGGATGTTGCGATTTCGATTCTTGAGGGTTGGAGTTGTGTCTTTTGATCGGGATCGTTGGCTGCGAAACATGCTATAGAGAGCAAGTGGAAGGACAGTGGACAGATTAGAAGGTTATTGGATTGATGTAAGTCAATTCGACGATTTCTAGCTAAATTGATTTGGCTTGTCTGGATGATTTTGTTTCTTTCAGTTATATCACTGATTCACTTTTAGTTGTGAGTACCTCGGTAGGCTTGTATGACAAGCCGGTAGCTTATAGGGTAAAGGGAATTGCCAGAAAAGAAATGCAATCGATCGAAATGCAATTTTTCATTCCATAAAACGCCGTTCTTTGAATCTTAAAGAAGATTGACCAAATTGTGCTATCGTGGTGAATTCGATGCTCAACCACTACATTCGCAACGGATGTATCGGACTGAAGTCCCTTCCAATTTCAGATCAAAATCCATTCAAAATCCATTCAAAATTCAAGGTACTCAAGATCCAAGGCAAAACCAATCAATGATGCCAAAGCTGGATGGCCTCTCCCCATCCAGGTTGTATACATGGTCCAATCAGCTTCAACCATATCCAATACACTCAGTCACCTCCACACCAACCAAATCCTGGTCTACATCACTTCCTTTCTATTGTTTATTACTATGCATTGCTTCGTCTAGAAGACAAGCTCGGCTCCTCCACTGTCGATCTGATCAACCTCCGAAGCACTTGGAGGCAGGTATCTGAATCTCTTGGACAACTCACATCTCAAGAGAACCTCGCCCTCCTTAAGCTCAATAGGCTTAAGAGGAGCAGATCCGCTTGAGCTGCCTCCCTGAGGCAATCTGCCGTTTGGAGCACAAGGGTGGGGTTGTGGTTTGCTAGACTGAGCAGCTAGGAGTTAGTACAAATTGAATGGAAATATCAGAAATTCACATACCGTGTGGGTGGGGGCCACCGACAAACTTTATGAGGGGAACGTGCTTCAACAAGGCAACCGACTGTCTCATGGTGGATTTCTGGAGATGAGAAGTAGATTATACTTGAAGACGGTTGGCCCCGGCGGTTTATGGGTGCGCGTATGCAGGGCCGACTGACTCCGAGAGACCCAGGAAGTCACCGAAGCGGATGGGAAATGGAGGGAGGTGGACTGGTTTTTGGATTTAAGATAAGGCATTTGTTTCTATAGATCGTGTTGTTGAAATCGGCTGCAATGGAACGGACGCTTGACGAATTCTACCATGGAGGTGAAACAGGTTCCGGATCCAGCTACCAGTGCAGCTTTTAAGCTTCAAACAGCACGTTGCATTTTTCGTTCTTTGTCGAGTACACTGGTGACTAAACCATGCCTTTTTCTGACATCAAACTATTTTTTCAGATCCGTTGTTCCATTTTTGTGATGCACGGACTATCTCGTAAATACACCTCCTCTGTGGATTTCGCAGCCATTTCACAAACCTACTACAATGAAGTTCGTCGAATTGCCCGATTGCATTCTCGACAGAATCGGCTATTTCATCCTTGAAGAGGAGAAAGAGCTAACACTGCTTCACAATCTCCGCCTGACTTGCAGGCGCCTAAACAAACACTTCTCCATCTTTCTCTATACTTCGCTACCTGTTGTATTGACAGAAAAGTCGGGAGGAAGATATGAGTGGCTGGGGAAGAAGGAAACCTTCAATGAGTTCGATTGTTCACTTGTACGTGACCTTCAGATCTACCGATTCACCCAATTTCATCTTCCTCAGGAGAGTCTTGTCAGATTGCGGTTCTTGACTATTGAGGCCTTGGATCTATCCTTCCTTTGTCAACTTCCAGATATCCCGGAGCTCTGCTCTCTTTCTGTCATTTACAACCACAGGCGGCTTAGAAAAAAGAAGGTATTTGGCTGGGAACATGATTTGGAGCAAGTAATCAGCGAGGCAGAATTCCCCAGATTGGAGGTGCTCAGAATCTCCTCTAAGAAACCAAAAGTCAATGTGCCATACAAGAATTTGTTCACTTCTGAGAAAAGAAGCCCCCAGAACATCAATGACTATGAAAGGCAGTTCTCGTCAGAAAAACGTGTGGAAAAGTACCAACGGAAACAACGAAAGCACCACAGTCTTGGACGAATGTTCTTCATGCTCATGGAAAAGTGCAAAGGCTCGTTGAAAGCTGTGGAGGTCTTGGGGCTTGATTTCTCTTTTGTCATGGCTCGGGAGCGTACCATCAAATTCGGGAATCCAGCCACCATCATCCTCAACAACCCGTCCATTATACATGCGTATTCATGGATGCCACGAGTGTCTGCCAAAAGGCGTTTGAATGTCTTGATTGAAGATTGCTCCACCAACGCTGTTCATGTTACGGTGAAGAAAAAAAACCAGGATCCAGTGAATATGGTCAAGACAGCTTCTCTTCTACAGCAGGTCAGAGGCTCCATAAGCAATTGGTAGTCTAGATGGGGCTACATGAATGAAATGAATTGAATTGAAGAGAAGAGAAGTAAGAAATAGATGTAGACTCGTGTATTGTATCTTGATCCGGAATCCTTGTTCTTAGAAAGATTCAAGTGGTCCACATGCTTGTTAGGATGCGCGTGTGCATTCATAGTATATACGTGGAAACAGACTAGGTAAAACTTCCTTGATAAGTAAACTAGAAGGACTTCGGTTATTTATAATCGTCAATTAGCCGAGACGCGGTAAAAGCTCGTTCACAGGCCATCCCTTATCCCTTGGTCTCGGGACCTCGGTAAAGCCTGTGATCTCTGACGATGTACCTAACAATGCTTTTCGCAGCCAAATGAAATGGCCTTCTCTCAAATGAACAACACTTTTATCTAAGGCAATTTTTAATAGACGGAAAAATCTATTCTTCTGATAGATTATTTAAACCTTTTGCCCACTTTCCCCATGAAAATTAAAAGATCACCCTCCCCGGCTTCCACTTCTCCCCGTATATCAACATTCTCATGTGTGCGACTAAAAATTACCTCAACCAACACCTCCATGTCAGACAAGCTACAAAAAACCATCGCCAGATTCCAGCAGAGAATCGACAACAAGGACTTTTATGAGGCCCACCAGACCCTCAGAACAATCACAAACAGATACGTCAAGTCCAAGCAGTACACCAATGCCATTGACTTGTTGTACCAGGGACTGACGATATTGGCAAAGAACAAGGAGTACGCTTCAGCTGGCGATCTTATCGTGTACTTGATTTCTGTGTACGAGGAGAGTGCTACGCCATGTACCAAGGAGACGAAAAACAAGATCATCGAATTGATCTCCTTGCTTCCAGACACAGACCCAGCTTTGGGCGATTTGTCCAAACGTGCTCTACAGTGGTCGATTGACTACGCCGAAGTGAAGCTGATTTTCGGCGATTCCAGTTTGCATCACGTTTTTGGCGTTAAGTTGCTTAACGCCGCTGCATCCCAGCCCTCTGAAGAAGACAAGCACAAGTTCTTCTCTGTGGCCGAGTTACACCTTGTATTGGGCACCTACGAGTCCTTGCCTGTTTACATTGACTTCTTGTACAAGTGGTTCGAAACGCTGGGCGGCGATCCTGGCATCTATTTGAGCAGAGCCGTTGTCAATTACGCATATCTAAAGAATGTGAAGTTTGTTCACACAGCAGTGAATCTCTTCCTCGCTCGGTACCTTGGTGCGGAGAAGGAGAAGGTCGAGGAGCTAGAGGAGGAAGGCCAGAAGTTGTTCTTCTTCGAGAGTTCCAAACTCTTGAACTTCTTGCAGTTGTTGGCTGCCACCCTCGACAAGTCTAACGCTGGCGACAAGTTCATGAAGTTATACGGCAATTATAAACCATTGATCAGCCAGTTGGGTCTTGTAAACCCTGTTGACTATCTTGGTCGCTTCTACTTCAACTTGAACTTGGGCAACACCTCAGGCGGCGGAAACATGCTCGCCAACATGATGGGCAGTTTTTTCAAATAAACGAAACTTTGGGCATTTAAAACTCGTCGCTATCTTTGACAATGCACGAGGCGTCAAGCGCCGTGACCAATTCAGCCCTCTTTCCCTTGAGGAGCTCGTGCTTGGCTTCGCTGTACGTGCACCATCTACGTTCTCTTTTGCTGCTCTCTGGCCATTCTGGGCTGAGCTGCTCAACCAACATCTCGTAAAAGTGAAACTCCAGTTTTGGAATAACCTTGTGTGGATCGAAGTCTTCGCCCTGCTTCAAAACAGGTGCTTTAGCACCTCTAGTATCGTACACGATAGGCAACTTCTTGAGGATTCGACCTTCGCAGCCTGCTTCTTCCCAAGTTTCACGAACAGCACTAATGACAAAGTCGTCTCCTTCGTCTAGTTCAATTCCTCCTTTGGGAAATACCCATTGGCCCTTGTGAGCTGACGATGAAATCATAATACACTTTTCCTTCGATTGTTCAAGACAGATACAGCCTGCGATCATTCTGGCACCATTTTCGGGATTATAGCGTTGGTTTTCCCTACCAACACGTGCTTCGGCTGCCTTCACAGGCATATTGGGGTTTGTGGACTGGGACATGATGAAGTAGTAGGTACCCCGTGCACTTGATGAATCAGACTTGTGGAGAATGTCACGTGCACTTTTCAAAACCGGGGAGGCTGATGGAGGCGCCGATTTGAGTAAAGGTGATGGAGAAACTCTATAGGTTTATCCTAATAATTTAAGGAAGGACAGATAGCGCTTGATTGGTCGTCTATCTGGTTCAAGGTGTTTCGCACCCAGATGCGTAGTCTATTCTGGGCTCGCAAGAAGTGATCGTCATAATCAGAAGACTTATAGAGATTTAGGCGAGTAGATTTTGGAGCCGTTCTTTAAATTCGAGAGTTTTGGATTTGCTGGTGTTTTGATTGCATGGTGAGTTAGACGAGCGTTCTCACCAGGATTTGGATAGCAATATGAACAACAAAAAGAACAACAAATGCCTTTCAATATTCAAAAATCAAACACCATCTCTTTTTCATCAATTCCACTCCCACTTCCCCCACTAGCTCTGTCGTCATTGCAAGTTTGTTTTGAATTCACGTGACCTGCGTTGGACTATGCTGAGAAGCCCGATTTCATTCTTCATTCAACACCATGCTTGCTTCCATTTTTCTTCTATTAAGCACAGTGTTTGCCCACGGCTCCCATGAGGTGCCCGTGAGGCCACAAGGCATGACCTGGCAGGAGTGGCACATGAAGGAAGAACACCAGGTTGACGGTTTCGATGCGGTGAGTTTCTTCAAAATGCATGATCTCCAGAACAAGGGCTACTGGACGGTGGACGACGTTTTGTATGTCTACGGATTAACTCGTGAAGAGGTTGTGGGTGATGGCAGTGGAATGGGAGAGCATGCCCAGGAGGAGAAAGTTTCACCTGAAGCTAAGGCTCAGGTCAGTAATATTGTCATGGGCCTTTTGGACCGCAACCACGATGGCACCATCACGTTGGAGGAGTGGAAAGAGTTCGTGCAAAGAAAGGAGGAGTTGCCTGATTTTGGCTACGGTCCTGGCCACCATATGGACTTTGAGTCTGAGTATGAGAACCATCACTGGAACAAGTACCACAAGGACCAGGATCCAGATGTGCACATCAAGCACAAGGAGGACATTGAGCACGAGCTTTTGCACCATGCTCACGAGATTGAGGGTACTCACGGCGACGATCCAAATGTCAGGAAGCTTGCTGAGAACTTCGCCAGTCCTGTGAAGCTCCACAATGTGCCACAGAAGTACTTGGCCAGAAAGGGTTGATCAAACAACAGCTTTGAAACTTTGATTGGCTTTTGAGTCGCTCAAGCTTGTGCCGATTTGGCACTACAGGAAAGAGGATGAAAAATTATGAAAGATGGAAATGGGGAGGGAGATGGATGTGGAATGCCAGGCTTCCGACACGCTACTGTGTCGGAGAAAGGATATGAGTTGTAGTACAACGCCTTGGCTGCAAATAGGAATCAAAAGAACAGAAATGAGTCACTGTCGTTCTAGCTGGGCAGCGTGTAGGCCTCCTTTGTTGAAATAAGGTAGTCAATTGCGGTATAGTAATTGATTCAAACACATCTTATCCAATCACGATATTGGATCCAATTGACTTGGTTTCAATCCATCAACATTTCTCAACTAAGGACTTCCCATCCTCTCTCTTCAACCTTCCACCCATTCTCTGAATAAACCAATCTCTTATCCTTCTCCCAAATCTCTTCTGATTTCCCCAAATCCATTGGCCCAGCGGCTACAACCCGCTCGTCTATCCGTACATTCAGCTATTTCTTTCCCACAACACCCAGGGCACATTCCCTAAGCGACTGGAGATCTGCCTGGCACTTCTTCTGGTCCATACCGTTCAGCTTCAAGCACGCCTCGTACGCCTGGAGCTTGCCAGCACAGGTGTTCTGGATCTGCTGGAAAAGAGGCACCTTGCTCTTCACACACTTGGTCAAGGCCATCTGCTCCACCACACAGTCAGCCTCCGAAGGCGGCTTGGCCATACACTTGTGGAATGCAAGAAACTCACCCGGACAATGGCGGGCAATGTCCTCCACCATGGCCTGGTCTAATAGTCCTGACATGATAAGAAGAGAGTAGTTCGCAGCCGATCAAAGCTGAGAAGTTTCGCAGCCAGATTAGGGTCCTCGGTGGGGTGGGGGGAAGTAGTGGTGATTTAAACAAAAAGATTGAATAATTTTAAAGATGGGGGAAGCGTTTTGGAAGATTTCATTATTTTTGCAAATCTTGTGGATTTCTGTAGTGGTGGTGGGGCACATGGTCCATGGCTTAACTGTGAGCCAATCAGACACAGCAGAAGCGATGTTGGAGGTGATTTACTAATTTCAGGTAAGTAGGTTTCGTGATATCTTGAAATATGGGGCAGCTTGCTGATATGTATCGTCTTTTCGATAGAAGTTAAAATGGGTTGATATGGTTGATCGTTATCAGTTGGTTCTCTATTGCAGCACAGGTGCAATCATAGCAGCTGCCGTTGGCTTTATATGGCAATTCACGAAAGTTTAAACAAAATTCTTACTTACTTCATGTAGAACGATTGATGTTTGTAATCTTGTATTGACGTCGATGGCCAATGTGTATCAGTATAATGGATGGAGTGACTGAGGTCAATTGATGAAAGCACCGTTTCACGTCAAAAGGGAGGAGCTTTAAGTCAATTTCCGAAACAGGAAAATTAATGTCACTTGCTTCCCTTTAAATCGCTCTCTCTATACAATCGTTATCTCAACTACTGCCGCTTTGGTGTCAACAGGCACTAGCAGTACCTTACCCCAAAGCCACTGTGCTTTAATTATCCGACGCAAAACACGATCATCAACCTCAAATAACACAATTAAATTACATCTACTTTCACCAACCCTGATCCCCGGGCGCCACTTCTCTCATTACCATCTTCTACTATGGCGATTCGCAGCCATTACCAACTTCAACCATACCACCATTAAACATAACCCACCCAAAATTTCAAAACACACCTCGGTAAGTCAAATCCCAACCCCCTCAAAACCCCTTCAAAACCCAATTAAAAAAAAATTGACCCCCACCCCACCTTTGTGACTCTTCCTCCTCACCTACATCTCGAAATTTCCAGTCGCACTATCCCAACTCTCAGTCAATGCATCCACACATAAAAACGGCGCTAGTCACCCTCCTGTGGTTTCCCGTGCTTTATGCTGCTGTGGACTACGGCTTCCAGCCTTGCCGAATTCAAGGCATGTCCATGACGCCAACGTTCAACCCAGGCACTGAAACCTTGGCCAAAGACGTTGTGCTAGTAAGAAAGTTCATGGCTGCCAATGGGTCTCTGCTCAGCCGAGGCGATATCGTGATGCTCCGGCTGCCGCTGAACCCGGAAAAACTCCTCACTAAGAGAATCGTTGGGGTCCAGGGAGACACTATTATTCCGAGGGCGGAATACCCCAGACAGAAGCCTACCGTGGTGCCTAGAAACCACTTGTGGGTGGAGGGAGACAATGCGTTTCACTCCATAGACTCTAATACTTTTGGTCCTGTGAGCCTGGGGCTTGTGGTGGGGAAGGTGGTGCTGGTGTTGTGGCCATTGAGCCGATGGGGTGTTGACTTGAGCAAAGGCGGAAGAAACGCCCTCACGAAGGTCGAGGAAACCAATGATTAAGGAAGTAATAGAGTTTTCGAAAGTATAGACCATGTGTTGAGCTGCCTTTGATTAAAGAAGTACAAACATTGACCTGAGTGTTGTCCTCATAAAGTGTTCAAGTGTACCTACTGGTCAGATTCTATCGTCCTTATCCCAATGACATAGCAGATAATCGCCCATTACGTCCCAACATCCATGGATCTACTTTTGGAACACCACGTCCGTCAATCGTGCGGTTCTTGGGCGAATGTCGATACGGCCGAGTATACATTTCCTCCAAGATCCAATCCTCCTTCTTGCAGCCGGGGACGCTTTTATCGCAGTCTTCTCTCGGAAGCCAGAGCCCAAATGCTTGTGAAAACCACCAGTCTTGATGTTGCAATGCTCTGGTTCCCCTGAAGTACTCACGATTGAGGATCTTCATGTACTTTGATGGAACAATCGCTTCCTCTCCTTCGAAGTACGTCATTTCCGGCTCAAGCTCTTCAAGAAGGAAAAAATGGTCGTCTTTGCAGTTGTAAAGGAGGCCAGCATTCCACTGCTCCGTCTCCAGTTCCCTTAGCCTTCGTTCTGTTGACTCTCGAAGCCCTTCAACGAAATCGAACAGCATCGCGGTTTCCTCGTAATCGGGATCGAATATTTTATGAAGCCGAGACTGGTCCTTCGATCCTGGTGAATTTTGCACGGCTTCAAGATCGTCAGACACAGCTAGGCCAGTGATGTCAACATATAGGCCTGAAGACATGTCTATAAAACGGGCATCAATGACATTTGCACCATTGCCTCGCTCTCGCTGAAGAAAATGGGGGTTGACATCCACGAAGTACATGTGGCCAGTGGGCTCATTATCTGTGAGATCGATGACCACCGACTGGTTATAGTTTATTGCAAGATCAACAAGACCCTTCATCGTGATCTGAACATCGAGGTCCTCATCCCATGGCATGTTGAGACCGTTCCAATACCAGCCTAGGAGCGTGCCATGGGCAAGCCAGGCTCTTAGTCCGATCTCTTTGGTGAATCTAAGCCAGGCTCTCGTTAGACGTTGCAAGATTGCTGTTCTTTCATATGGGGAGTAGTTGCTTGTTTTGAAAAATCGCCAGTCATAATGGAAACCCTTGCCACTCCCAAAAAGACTGGCTTCATGGAAGTATTTCTGCTCTGGGTGTGCTGATTCGATGTTGTCCCTCAAAGTGGAATCAAGATCGGCAATAGAGGGGACTTGAAACTCGGAAGCGCTGAGGTTTGAATTTTTAGGTGCATTGGGAAGCCGAATGTGATCAAAAATGGCATTGCTTGATTTGCGTACCCGCAAAGCTTGTCCGCTTAGCAGTATTTGTTGTTTACCATTGCCACGCTTCACCAACGAGATGATATCCGATTTCTCGTAATATTGTCCGTTGGTATCGCTTACCAATGGAACGGCAAGCAGTATATCTTTTTGGAGACCTGCTCCAAGAAACACGGCTCGTTTCGGTATCTTCAAGGTGTGTAATAGATAATTGGCACCGAGATAAGTCCTGGCTTGCTCAGAAAGTGGCTCATCTGTGGGCCCCATAATTCTATAATTGGGAAGTCCGTCAGGCAGCTCGATCAGCTCACATATTCCTTCTGCCTGTTTCAAACCCAATGAACTCTGAAACACTATACAATCTTCCCCCGACGCAATACCTGTAGCTTGTAAAGCCGACTGCAAATCCAAAGCCGAAACCCACTTGAATGGTAGTTCCAAGCTCTCAATGGGCTTTCCTTCCTTTATGAAATCGAGGACCTCGCCAAGCCATAGGGCTGGTAGAAGACGTGGATCGTACTCCATTGAAAGATCTTTATACTGTATGTTTAGCTCTCTTCCGTCTAGTAGTGGCCACGGAATAAAAGATTGTCCAATAAGAGGACTACGGTCAGCCAAGTATTCCTTCATATCAATAGTGGTGTATGATCTGGGGTACTCTGTGCTGAACGAACCAGTAAGAACACCAGAAATGCAAATGATTGACAACAAAGCTACTATGGCTGGGAGCATGTAAGGCATACTCGATACAGCCAGTAGTCCTCTTCGAAGCCTTACGGTTGCTTTTTTAGATATTTGCGTGACGTACCTGAAGAACATGTAGTTGGTGATGTTTTGCAACTATGCGCACACGACTGGTAGTTGAAGATATAGAGCTGAGGACATTTGTGGATTAGAGAATCCCTCCACTTTCTTTCTGTCTACTTCCAGCTAACGTGAAGAATACTTGTTTGTGTCATTACATTTCGTTACGTATGTGTGGGTCATGGCAAGGTATCACAAGTGACGAGATCGCACTTCGATGGGCCATCGAACTCCTCCAATAGCCAATTGCGGGCAGTCCAGGACCGCCAGTGATTTTGTTTGAAGAAAATGTCAATAAATGTCACTAAGGACGTGCAATGTTCTGCTGATCATCTCATAATCAGACATCACTAGCGATTGTCTTACAGTTGACGAGTCTCCCTCATTCAATGTACAAACGCTCTTCTCAAAGAATCACCTTTCCTCGTCAGCTGTCGAGGCTTATCATCATGTCACAGCCTAGCTCAAGACGTCTCGGAGCAACTCGATTGCCCAGAGATGGAATCTGACGAAGATCTGCGTGTCATTGGTCAATTCCACAAGCGACTTGGGTCGTATCTTGGACCGCCGTAAGTACCGCTCGTTGTCCACGTTCTTCAGCTGCTCGGCCTCCTCTGCCAAATGCTTCTCCACCTGACGCTGTATTGCCAGGATGATTTCGGCCATGTACGTGCTGACGATATCCCAGTTTCGTAGAAGATGCAGCTCCTCGTCACACCCCATCACCAAAGCGTATTTTCGCTCGCCTCCTCTTGAATTGACGTCTTGCACTCGAAACACCCTGCTCATACAAAACCCGTTGGCCACATCACCGAAGAACACGGGTTTCAGTGAATCCGCTGATGTCTCCACAGACAACAGTTTCATCACAAGTTTCACGTAAGCCGTGTACACATTCTGTGACAGCGGGTACCTTGTAGAAACGTACTTTTCGCCGTTGTTGGTCAGACTGACCAAATTCACAGCGTCGTTCGGTAGAACTAGTTCACACAGTGCACAGGACAGTAGTTTCAGCGCGTTGGAGTTGTTGAGGTTCAGATTGCTCTGTTGTGTGCAAATGACGATGGAGGACCCGTGGATCTCACAGAAGTGGGCAAGGCTGAAGACGTAGTTCGGCATTTCCACAAGCGAGGTGGTGTTTCAGATTTATGGAAGTATGATTGGATGGAGAATTTTTATTGAAGTGGGCTTGAAAGGAATGAAGCCGAAAGGGAGGATGCTCGGCGGTGGTGATAGTTATGAATCGTAGGTGTAGATGGATGATGTAGTGATCGCGATTTCGCAGCCAAATACAACCCCACCTTTTGTAGAGGGCAGCATTGGAGTGAGTTTTCTTAAGGAGAGTGCTTTATTTGTAGTTTGTAATAGTAACATTAATACGACCTTTTGACAATAAATGAGAAATTGACAATCCATAGCCTTAATTTCAATGAGTAAGCGTCACTCCTCTGGTTCAAGCTGAAGAGCGAATATCCAAACCAAGCCCAAAACCAACCATAAGCATTCGAATTGAATCTACAATTAAGGCAAAAAGATCATTATTTGAATAAAAAACCCCGTTCCCTGCTGCCCAAATCCGTGTAAGCTGCTCCACGACTGCCACACCCGTGCACCCATAGTTAGCAACCGCTACCTTATCAACCGACGTGCTACGCATATCAACCTCTGATGAGCCAATGACAGTGCTGTTCTCCCTAAAAGACCTCACTCTTGTGGGATTCCATGATTTCTTCCATGAGGGAACCACAGGGCAGGCCCGCTGTGTTTTTTTCTCGTTGCATACTCCAAAAATGGAGCCCTTATATGTTAGCGAAACGGTTACTACGACTTCCAGTCTTTCGTTTGGCAAAGTGACGCTACCGCGTCTTCCACTGCAACAATATTATGTTGTGGTTAGGCTATGGCAGAAGCTTGATTCTTGGACACTCCACTTGGAAGCAGTGGTGGATCTACGAAGATTGGCATTGCTAAGAAGGCCGTCAAGAGAGTTAGACGACGAGGACTTGAAGGAAAACAGCATCATTTGGTGTTTTGACGAGCGTGAATACACATTGCCGGAGAACATCAACAACAAAAGCATAATGGAGGCTCACCGAAGGGCCTCCCTGACTAGAGGCAGAAATGTATCCAAGATGTCCTATAATGTGGACGACATACGCCTATTGACTAGTCTAGATACGGGCGTCAAGGAATTGACCTTGCTGAATATGAAGCTTCTGAACCAAATTGACTCGGTTTTAGATTCCGTTAAGGGGAAGGTATCTGAACACGATCCAGAGGAATCGAGGGCCCTCAAGTTTCGAATCCACACTTTGCACAGATACATCACGAAACAACGAAATAATAACGATACGTTGAATTCCAAAGTTTACGAACGCAAGGTGCTTATAGGAAATCTCCAGCGGGCATTAGAGGATCACTTTCCACCTTTCAAGGACCTCTGTGAAGGTCAACTAGAATATGTTACATCACAGATCGAGCCGATCCACGAGCTGCTCGGCGCTGCTGTCAATCCAGAAATTGTGCTGTCTTTGAGAGCCATGGGAGATATCATCTCACGGTGTTTCCTCATAGAATCTGTCGGTGAGGAGAGATTCTCAATATTGGGAATCGACTTCCCCAGCTCGACCAAAGAGCTTCTCACCACCTGTTACGATACACTGAAGGCACAAGTCCCAGATCTCCCGACGTCTATTGACAGGATCAATGCAGGGCTCTCGTACATTGTCGCCTTGATGCTCATTCTTGCTGATATACTAGGGGTGCTGCTTAACTACGCCATGAAGTACTTGGGCAGTCGCAGCACAGTGGTGGACCACCTTGCAGACAGCACGAAAAAATCTGTCAAAGTGACGTACCCGTTATTTTTTGATGCAAGGCACAGTGAAAAAGTGGTGGATTCCAACGGACGCCGAACGCAGCTTAAGAATATCAAGTTCGAGCAAGGTCTACACCTTCTTAACAAGAACTTGGTCACGTTGATCGACGCCGCTTCAAATCTTTACTCACAGCTTTTTGACCACAAAGCAAAGCGGCTAACACTGCCTTCCGAAGGCATGGATAACCTTTTGTGGAACCTTAAACATCTTCTCTTGTTTATGACTGCGCCAGAAACAGCTGCAGCCAATGGCCACTAGCTACAACAAAAGTTTCAACGTCTTCAAATGCATTTTCTGGGTATATAACTAATTTACAACAAGGCGATAACAAAAGCACCGACAGCAGCTCCCACAGGGGCAACCATGGCAGAGCCGGCTCCGCCAGCGGTGGTAGACTTGGAGCTGTCGGAGGAACCAGACTCGGAGCTACCGCCAGAGCCAGAGGCCTCGAGTCTAGTGTACCAAGGCAACTCGGTGGCAAAGTCCTTCAAAGCAGAAATGTCGTAGTCCGTGTTGTCCAAGAGCGTCGTGTATGAGTCGTCCTTGTAAGTGGCAACCTTGGTGGCCAACTCCGTGAGTTCAGCTGGAGCAGAGGCGGTTCTAGCAAAAGCAAGATACTGCGTCTTGTGGGCATCGTAGTCAGAGACCAACTTGGTCAAGAACTCAGCGTCTTCAGAGTTGGCGGCTTTGACACCGGAGGCGGCAAGGGCGAGCACGCTGGCAAGGGATGCAAACTTCATTATGATATGTGGAGGGAAAAGTGGAGGATTTGGGAACAAAAAAAGGTAGGTTGTTGAAGGAAAAGACCGGGCGGGTCGGCTCGTATTTATATGTCGTTGAGGGGAAGCTCTGCGTCTAGAGGATTTTTCTGGAGAGGCAATGTGACGCAAATAGGCAAGGTATGATCTGTGCCGAACGACAGATTGGGATCCATCAATTTGCCCAAAGGGGCAAGATCACAGCTGATATTACGCTGTGTGCAGTATTCACTTCTCTATTAGGCATGCGGTATGCATGGAGCAGATCGCCATACAGAGAAAAAAGAGAAAGAGGTGCGAAAGAGAGGGGGGGCATTCACGGTTGCGAAAAAAAAAAAAATCTTCAATCTGTGTCACAAAGCTATGGATGGATCTGCGCCGATATCCCGCTTAAAGGGAACACTCGTGTGCACAGACGGTCAACGCAAGAAATGTGGGGAAAGTGAAGAAAAAACCAGCCTCGGCAGTGCAGCCGAAAAAATACAATACCCAAGTGGTCCTGAGCACTTACAGGTAACAGTGAAGAAAAACGATTGTTTCTGCGTACAAACATGATTCATTTTACTTGTTGGAAGTTTGTCTTGGAAGTATGCAAAGGAATCGCCGAAGGGTCGTACTCCATGATTTAGCCGCCTTTGCTGATACCGCCCTTCCACTGAGCCCCACCTAGGCTTATAGTCGAAAATGCCTCCTTCCCCTCTTTAGCCGTAGCGAGGCTAGCTTTGATGATTGCTCTTCGTTTTATTTTTATCATATTTCGTCTTTTTGTAATTCGGATTGTCCAATCACCGTTCGCGTCTTTTCATTGCCTCCAACGGTTAGGGGTTTCCTGTCAGACGCCCTCGTGTCGTACCAAGAAAGTATAGACGAGGCTGCATGTGAGGCCATATTCGTGTGGAAGCTTAGATGCCAGATATGGGGGTATGGCTGAAAGGATGACGTTTTATGGTTTTTTGGGATTTGTGGGGGAGTAGTGTGAATTGGAGGTGGAAGAATTTTTACCTTTTGGGTGGAGCATCTTTTTGTCAAGCAGGTGCATATACAAAGACAATAATGTGATTGTTGAAATGGCCTTATTTGGTGGAACGTTACATAGATGGAAGTTGGTGAAGTGGAGGGTCCATAAACGACAAGATCGTCAGGATCGACGTCGCTATGGGGTTTTCATGTGCTTGCTACTTTAGCTTTTAGCTTTTGGCAGTGTGCTACTTTTGGCAGTGTGCTACTTTTAGCAGTGTAGGTGCTACTTTTAGTAAAGGTTGATTCATCTCGATGTTCATTACATCTATTTAAAAACTTAGAGCAACAAGTTGCCCACAATGGCAGCCACAGCCACAGCACCGCCAGCGGTCTTGCCACCAGCAGCAGCACTGGCAGAGGCGGAAGGATTGGCAGAAGAGCCAGAAGAGCCCGACTTGCTCAGGGAACCGGAAGATCCAGAAGAAGAACCGGAGGAGCCAGGAGACGAGGAGTCGGAGGCACCAGAGGCAGTGGAGCCGGAAGAGCCGCTAGCCAGGCTGCCAGAAGAACCGGAGGAGCCAGATGGGGAGGCAGACTCAGAAGAACCGGAGGAACCCAAGCCAGCGAGTCCACCAGAAGAGCCAGAGGAACCGCCGGAGGACGAGTCACCGCCGGAGGAGCCACCGGAGGAGCCACCGGAAGAACCACCAGAAGAAGAGTCACCGGCAGAACCAGCGGAACCAGAAGAACCACTGGAGCCACCCTCACTGGAACCACCGCTGGAGCCACCGCTGGAGCCGCCGCTGGAGCCGCCACTAGAAGAGTCACCAGAAGCACCACCACCGCTTCCAGAGGAGTCACCAGAACCCTCAGAGGAACCACCACTGGAGATGGCATTGGTGAAGGCCACAACAGAGGCCAAGGCAAGAATGTGGGAGAATTGCATTTTTCTTTTTGATTGAGTTTGTAAGTCTGTGCTTTCTGCTTCTTCTTGGTATCTTTTCCCTCTGTATTTATACCCAAAGACCGTATAGCCTCAGAGGCAGTGGTGGGCTCTTCTATGGAGGTGTTTTGCACACCTTGATGGCTTTGCAGCCATTCCGCAAACGCGAGTGGGAGCTGCACTGCCTGTCAAAACCTGCACCCCTGACTAGCTATGCACCGTGAATGTGTTGTTCCTGGCGACTTTCCTATTCTGTAGGTGGTGTACCTTGGACCCTGCTGCAAATGGGACCAAGTGCGAACTGCTGTTTCGCCGACTATGTCGCAAGACCGCAACGGTAAAGTGCCTGAACGATATTAATCACTGGCATAATTTTGATTGTTTCAGAAATTATTTTGCATATTGTTTCATCCTCGTAGCACTTTGTTCTAGACATAGCCTAGCTGGTGCTTGCTGGGTGGCTGTGTGGTAACATAGCCATTTAGCTCACAAAAGCCATTGTAGATACACACTGCGAACTGATAGGGGACATCCAAAAATACTGCCTCTGAGGCTGAAACAAGCCAGCACTGGACGCGCTGTATATTATCACGTCACCTCGTGGGTCGTCCTCGAATGCCGTGAATGCTTAGATCTGAAGCGAGCCCCCAGCAAGACAAAGGTTCCTTCTCGAAAAGTGTACCTTATACACGGGTGTCTTTTTCGTGAAGTATGCTGTCATGTGGTCGCTCGTGGCGACGATTTCCTTTCTGCTTACTCTTTCGGCAGGCTTCTTCCCCTCGCTGCCTGAAGATGACGTCAAGCTGCTGCCGTTTATGCCTTCACCGTTTAATGGCTCAGGTGTCGGGCCCGCGTCGTTAGTATTTCTCTTGACGTCCCACACTCTAACCGTGTTATCAGATGCACCACTGACAAGAACACCGCCATCGCGACTAAACGCCAAAGAATATATAGAGGAACGTCCGTGACCTCTCATACTCTTCAAGCGACGACCAGAACCAGCATCCCAGATGTTAATCACAGTGTCTTCACCTGCAGTAGCCACCCATCTACCGTCGGGTGAAACGGCCATACAGTTGACAGCACCAGTGTGTCCCATGAAAATACGCACGGCGTTACCGGTCTGCACATCCCACATTCTGGCGGTCTTGTCTGAGGATCCCGTGAAGACGTAGTTGGAATTTGGATGGAATTCAACGCAGTCCACGTCGTTAATGTGACCAGCGAAAATACGCAATGGGTAGATGTGGTCGGTTGCCCAAAGACGGGCTGTTTGGTCGTGCGAGGCGGTTGCAAAGTAGTGGCCGAAAGGAGAGAATTTGACATCCCAAATGGGCTGGTTGTGGCCCTTGTAAGAAACCAAGGCGGTATAGGTATCCATCGACCAAAGACGTGCTGTCTTATCTTCCGAAGAGGAGATCAAGTACTTGTTGTCGGGAGAAAACGACAAACCGTAAACTGGCCCACTGTGGCCGACAAGTCGTCTGGTGTTGTCGTTGTTGCTAGAATCTCTCTTGAATACGGATTTAAGAGGGCGCCCATCGAGACTCCACAATTTGATGAAGCTGTCCTGGAATCCCGCGGCAACGGTATTGGAGTCCTCGTTGAACTCAAGACATGTCATGTCATTGTTGGTGTTGTGGAAAGTGTACATGCACACAGAAGGAGCACTGGCCTGAAGGGCACCCAACTTGATTTTGGAGCGGGAGTCCTCCACGGCGAGAATCATTCTTTTAACGTCTGAAGCGTCCTTCAAGGGTAGTGGGATCGAGTCTGCTGCAGGTGAGTCCTTGTCTGGTTCCTTGAGCTCTTCAAACTCCTTCACAAGGGTCTTGCCGTCCACGGGCTCAGTAGTTTCATCCTTCACCTTCAACTCGGCCTCAACCTCCTTCTGCGTATCTTCATCCAACGGTAGTTTACCAAGCTGAACTGGTTGCTCGTTGAACTTCTCGATCTCGTTTGTGCTGGTGATGTAACCCGGAATTCCTTCAGCAGGATCAGCCTCTCCCTCTTGCGTGACCTTATCTGGTCTCGTCGTTGATATGATGGGATTGAGGTACTGGTTAATGATTCGAATGAGAACGGCACCGCCAACGGCCTCGTTCTCGTGAAGGAAATATAGTAAAAGGTTCATTGTCGTCTTGGATACCAAGATTCTGTACTTGTTGGTGCGGTATGCTTGAGCCAAAGGGTCCTCCTTCAAGTGATCAGGCAAGGAGATACCTGCGAGCTGCTTCACCTCCAATCCATGCAAAATCATGTGGTCGTCCTTGAAATTGTCGTAGAAGATTTTGGCGTGCTTGATAAAGTTCTTGGAAACGAGCTCCAAGTAGCAATGAACGAAAAGTGGGTACAAGATACGGGACAACTCAGGCTTGTACAAGTCCAAGGACGTCTCGACCCAGCTTCTGAGGATCGAGTACGCTCTGGCGTAAATGTCTGGATCGTTCTCCCGTTTCTGTTTCTCCTCCTCTTCTTTCAACAGCCGGAGCTCCTCCTCCTTCCGGTCGTACGAGCCCTTGTCCTTGTAATCCCTTAATTCCCTTTCGGTTCTTGCAACCTTATCTCTCATTTCCCTGAGTTCTATGTCAGCCTTGGTCTGCTTGCCACCAGTTGGATAGCCCAGCGAGATTTCCGTTGGTCCGGGATACGAGGTGCTTGATGGAGTAGGCATTCCTGCCAGAGGCGTCGCCGTATTGGAACTTTCCAAACGGAACATGGCTTCTGTCTTGTGGAACCCTTTCTTGTTGAGGTACTCCATCACAATTCGATTAAGATCTGCCTGAGTGAATTGCTGCTGGCCCTTTGCCGCAGGCCTATTGGCCAGCGAGTTTTGATCCGTCGGGGCAGGATTGGCCATTGTTGAAGTTGTTGGTTATGGAGTGCTCAGTTGAAAACACTTGAAGTCGTGTGCCGCGCACGACTACTACTTACCACTACACGGACTGATTTCGATGATTTCGTGATTCGTGAAATTAAAGTTTGTTTTATGCACATAGTAGACGCCGCCAGCATCGGGCCCGGCGCTTTGGTGCTTTTCCGGGCGATAAGCGTCGGTGGACAGCTTTACTCACCACTCTCCCTAGATACTCACCAGTGAACCGGTTACAGTGACCGCTCTCCCAGGGGACAGCATCCACGATATCCCTGGCGAGTTTCTTTTTCTCTATAATGCTGCCGAGATGTATAAGGCTTTTTCTTGTTGTGTGGTCGGCACCGACTTGGACAAACTGGATCCCCAAATGCTCCTTGGGCGCCTTGAAAACTTCAAGTTGCTGAACGGTCCAGGCCACGGTGTTGGCCAATTCCTCGGGAAAAGCTCTATCTGATATGGCAATGATATTCATCGCTTTGGTCTGGCCGTGGATGAAATCGCCAAAGTATCGCTGAACTAGCCGTAGAAGAGTGCTTGCCATATTAGCAGTTCCCACAGGGCTTCTGCCGTCGAATTGAAGCTGAATCTCCTCTGGAGATAAGTCCAACAATGGCTCCCGTTGGTTCACAAACCAGATATCCTGGCCTTGGTCGTCCCACTCGGCACATATACTGGCAAACAGGGCCAAGGCATCACCAGTCTGAGTCCACGGTACAATTCCCAGTTTTCTATCCGTCCAGCTCATCAGCAGGTTGTCGTCGACAATGTATACAATGTCATATTCCTTGAGGGTGTTGTATTCCTCGGCTTGTAGGGAGCATCTTTGGTCTTCTATCGGAATAGGCAGTCTAGGGAGGGCCTTGTAGGCGGGAGGTGGGTCTAAAGGAGTTTTCACCATGGTGCCAAAAGAAACGGATCAGCTTCTTAAAAATGTAGTATTTGGCATCATTCAGTCCTCGTGGGACCCGGCTAACAATGCGGCTCGGCCCGATCGATGATATCACGGTTTCTGAAAATCTCTCGTAAATGTCCGTTTCTCCGCATGAAATTCAGGAACGGACCAAAAGGGGAACACGCCCGCAGGCCATCTTAATAAGCCAATGATATGGGTATATCAGGAGCCGTGACGTTCGGTTCCTGCACCAGTAACGTAGACCTCGTAATTTCCCATCACGGTTTTTCGAGCTAGTCGGTCCGGTTCAGGCATAGATTGTGTGAGCTATGCTAACGGTGGTTTCGCGGAATCTGACGGTTTACTGATTCGGCCCGGTTTGTTCCACACCTGTCAAGGCTGTTTTATTTCATGGCTTGGCGATGTAGGCGTGCGATGCAAATGGACATTAGCCAATTGAAAGGAATGAATGGAAATGACAGTCGAAACTTTCAAGCAGCTTTAGGCGGATCAGATGGTATAAGGTGTGCTGATATGATATGGTGCCTCCGTCTTTTTCGTTCGTATTCTTTAAAGTCTCTTCTGCCGGCCTATGCTGAATTGATCTTCGGCTTGGCGGTGTCCCACGGACCCTGGAGCTCGTTCTTGTACCGCTGCAACGACATAAAGTACCATGGAAGACACAACAGCACGAAAATCACGCCCAGAACGTAAACCACCAGAAACCAGGCGCCATGAATTACGTAGATCACGCTGGCCACTATGCCGTAGACGAAGAGCATCACGCTGAAGTGAGCAGAATACAGTTTCTCTCGAAGCCGTAGATCGAACATAGGAAATAGAATACAGACCTCTGTGGCGAACACCAAAAACACGAAGGCGTCCATTGACAGCAGAAGCCGTGATGCTAGCACAATGCCGTTGGTGAAGCTGAGATTCGTGGATATGACAGCCCTGTAGCTTTGAGACGTTTCCAAGGCGTAATCGTGGCACACAACGTTAAGGCAAGTAAGCACGCTGGAAAGTGCCCAAATTGAGTCGGACGATGTCGATTTGGTCAAGGATCGAAGCACAGGCGAAAGCAACAAGAGCATGAGTAGAATCACCGTGTTCAGCTTGACCGTCTCGTACAGATTTGTGTATGAATTGAGCGCCACAAGCCCCAAGCCTGCTAAAAGCGTTCCACAGGCCGTCGCTACCAGCGCTTTCCAGTAACCCAGGTAGATTCCCAGAAAGTTAAGGTTGACTAGTAATAAGAGCAGCGCATATAAGGCCACTAAGCTGAAGTCATGATAGAGCTTTCGAAACAGGTATTTCGAGACAGTGGTATTTCGTTTGAGCTGATCCAAAAACAGCGCCGGCGTATAGTTATCGGGAAACGGCTGCTCCACATATAGAAGCTTCTTCCATACTGCCATGGTGGAGGTCGCAGTAGGATTATCACCAATATCGCACTTCTCACCTACACACCCTCATTCCTACTACATCCTTGAAGAACACACCCTGATAATATTAAATATGTCACGCCACGGGATCCACGATTCTGTCCTGCTGATGGCGTCTTTCGCCACCCTGCAACGGCAGAAACCCTACCGCAACATGAACAGAAGTGAAACCAACACAACCACAGATGTCAATCTGAACCTAGACAACCAGAGTCTTCGAACCGTGGACCAGCTCTCCACGGCACGTGCCAGCGTGACGATGCTGGACAAACTCTGGACACAAATCGACGTTTTGGACGATGTCAAGAAAATGGCCCAGGAGGTCCAGGAACGAGGGTCTTTCTTGAGTGAGGAGTTCAGCGAGAAGCTTATCCAGATGAAGGAGGCCCAGCAGCGGCTCCTAGATGTGATGGGCCGGCATCACGAACTCAGCGAAAAGAGCCGGCAAGAAATGAAAGAACAGCTCGAGCAAACCCCCATAGAGCGGATGGAGGAAGAAGCTATTCGCAAGGATAATGAGGCAAAACAGAAGAAAATGCATGATTTTTTCTTTGGCAATGAGAGGGAAAACACCAACGAGGAGACGAAAGATTTTGACGAGCTCAATGATTATGTCGATGATGTCAGGCAGAACTTGGCTGCGGTAGCGAAAAGCATGGCCAAGTTCGATGACACCACCAAGGACTTATGGTGATGCTGCGGGCCAGCCATCTGGTGATACAGGAAAAGGCTAAAGAGAGGGTGGTTTTTGGTAGAGTTTTGATTTAAAGTGTGGCCCTTTTTGCATCTTTGTATTGGCAGCGCCTCATGCCTGCTGAGCGTTTTAGGCGGTTATGATGCGTCTTGACAACGGTTTTATTTTTGACAGGCCGCCCCTCATATGTGGCAGTTTTGGTCTGTCCAATTAAGCTTCAGGATCGACACCCATCATCAGCAGTTCCAGCCTGTGTGTGGAGACATTTTAGCCCGCTACTATCAGCTGAGGCTCTTCGGGTGAGGCCGAGCCAGAAGACCATGACATCCATGATCTCAGCATGTGGTGCGTTCATAACACAGGTGACGCGACTGTTTTGCGTGCCTCCGAGAAAGTTTTTTTTGTTGATTTTCCCGCCAACGTCTATTTTCACCGGAACAACTTGATGCCGGAGTATGATCACCGCGGCTAAGTCGGAAAAACTCTAAACAGCAAACGTCACCCGGCAGCAACCGCAGACCGTCTGAGACGTACTGGTCATAGTTAAGGCGGGGCCCCACACGCACCCCAGGCGGGCGCGGAGTGAGGTCACCCGAAATCGTCTTCTTAGGGGAAGAAATCGGGGAAATTTGATGCACCACCACCTGACGCACGATCGAGGTGCGTCAACCAAGAAAACTACGGGTTTGATAGACAGTTTATCCGGGAGGATCTCGACTGGAAAGTAACAGTAGAGGGCATGAAATGGGTCGAAGAATCCCTTTATCGAAAGTTCAAAAGTCGCCGTGCAAAGTGATCTAGTCGTTGCCTGCTTAGTGCATCTTGCTGGTCTGCACACAGCGAGGTTCGCTGAGCAGCTCCGAGAGCGATACCCAGATTTTTCAACGCATATAAAGGCGAGATTTTCCGGCTTGCTCACCTCCAAACAAACTACACATACACACAATGGTCAGATTAGGTCCAAAACCACCACAGCACAGAAAGGGCACCTTCACGGGCGTGTCCAAGGAGTTGCTTGACGAGATCCACCAGATGGAAGATCTCTTCACCGTCTCCGGCGAAACCTTAACCAAGATTTCCGATCACTTCGTCAATGAACTCACCAAGGGTTTGTCCAAGAAGGGAGGTAACATTCCCATGATCCCCGGTTGGGTTCTTGACTTCCCAACTGGTCAAGAGACTGGTGACTACTTGGCTATCGACTTGGGTGGAACCAACTTGAGAGTCGTCTTGGTTTCGCTCTTGGGTAACCACAAGTTCGACACCACCCAATCCAAGTTCGCCTTGCCAAAGAACATGAGAACCGCCAAGTCTGAGGAATTGTGGTCTTTCATTGCTGAATGTTTGGCCAAGTTCCTTGCTGAATTCTTCCCAGATGGTGTCAAGCAGACCTTGCCTTTGGGTTTCACCTTCTCCTACCCTGCTTCCCAGGACAACATCACTGAGGGTTACTTGCAGAGATGGACCAAGGGTTGGGACATTGACGGTGTTGAGGGTAAGAATGTCGTGCCTATGTTGCAGGAAGCTATTGCTAAGGTCAACATCCCAATTGAGGTTGTCGCCTTGATCAACGACACCACTGGTACCATGGTTGCCTCCATGTACACTGACGCTGAGGCCAAGATGGGTCTTATCTTCGGTACTGGTGTCAACGGTGCCTACTACGAGAAGATCAGCGAGATTCCAAAGTTGGAGGGTAGACTCGAGGACGACGTCACCCCCGACATGCTCATGGCCATCAACTGTGAGTACGGTTCTTTCGACAACGAGCACGCTGTGTTGCCAAGAACCAGATTCGACAAGATCATTGACAAGGAGTCTGCCAGACCTGGCCAGCAGTCTTTCGAGAAGATGATTTCCGGTTACTACTTGGGTGAGCTCTTGAGATTGATCTTGCTCGAGTTGGCCGACGAGAAGAAGTTGATCTTCGAAGGTCAGGACTTGACTAAATTGCATGAGTCGTTCGTCATGGACACTTCCTTCCCAGCCCGTATTGAGGAGGACCCATTCGAGAACTTGTCCGACGTCCAGGAGCTTTTCCAGAACAGTTTGAACATCCAGACCACTGTTGCTGAGAGAAAGGTGATCAGAAGATTGTCTGAGTTGCTCGGTGAGAGATCTGCTCGTTTGTCTGTCTGTGGTATTGCTGCCATTTGCAAGAAGAGAGGCTACAAGAGCGCCCACTGTGCCGCCGACGGTTCCGTGTACGAGAAGTACCCATACTTCAAGGAGAGAGCTGCCCAGGGTTTGAGAGACATCTTTGGCTGGGCTGAAGGCGAGGAGGACCCTGTGGTTATTGTTGCTGCTGAGGACGGTTCTGGTGTCGGAGCTGCCGTCATTGCCGCTTTGACCGAAAGAAGATTGAAGGACGGCAAGTCCGTCGGTGTCAAGAAGGGCACCTAGATCAGGTAAAACTTTTATGAATGCATAATATAGGAAAAAACCGGTGTAGCCATTTTTTTGCACCCAGTGTGCACAAAGTATACTCTCACCACTCGGGATTATCACCAACCAGAAACATCATCATATAACTTCCCAAATGTCTGTTTACGCCTCGCCCTCCGCTCGTCCGATCGACGTGACTGACCTTCAGGAGGAGAATGACGTAGCTGTCATTTCGTCACAGCTATCATCTGACGAGCTCGTCAACAACGAGGACATTTCCACCACACATACTATCATTGAGGCCGGCCGAGAGGAAGAAAAGGAGGCCAATGGCCAGACGGTCGTTAGTTTCAATATTTGGAGCATTCTTCGAAAGGGCGCCATCAATTTGGTGTTGCCCTTCATCAACGGAATCATGCTTGGGTTCGGTGAGATCTTTGCCCACGAGGTGGGCTTCAAATACGGCTTTGTGGGTGCTAGGG